CGTGTCGATGAATCGTGCGACACATTCTCGGATTATCGAGCATTCTTGCTTCAGCATTATTGTCGCTATTGTTGCCTCGAAGTTTTAGTTAACAGCCAGACTGATGACTGACTCGGGATGCCCGCGATACTCCGGGATATGCCATTGCAGCACTGGTGCTGGAAAGCAGATGTTTGTGTCCCCCTCTAATCGTTAACCCACCCTGCTGATACAGCGACATTCTTTCTCCTGCGTGTTTCGAACAACAAAGCCTGTTACTCGAAAGGCCGGATTGCCATGTTATCCATTTCTCAGCTCTTGGAGTTTCAGCTGTGTAGCGGTGAAGTGGACTTGTCATTTTGAGTCCGGGTCTAGCAGGCGGAAGCAATCCACCCAAATCTGCCGCGTTTCTAGCTGCATTCTAGCTGCAGGAGAAAGCCCACAAGGGGGTCAGTCAGGCTGAAGCAACGAGCACAGCGCCAGCGAAAAGAGGGAAAACAATTATCAGGAACCCGTGTCATTTGTGCGGACCCCCTCTTAAATTTGTGGGATGCCAGGATGGAGGTCGCTATAGCGGCCCGTCAGGTCCGAATGCATCGCTGAATTTGTGGAGGGATGCTATACGAGAGGCGACAAGCAAGAAGGTTACGGAGTACTGTAGATGCTGACTCGAGACAAATCTGCCATTGTGAGTTAGGTTGTACTCGGTACTTGTCGTACTCTCGACACGTTACATGAAATAATGAGATGCGACAGCATAATAGTAGTCTAAGTAGAATGGCGGTTTGTGATTGATCCTATGAGTGCATCTGAGAAACTCTGTATCTGAATGTACATAGGTAGGCTGTTGGCTTGACAAGTGGGTGTCAATATGTCAGATGCCAGTGACCCGTCAAAGAGTAAAGCAACTCTCCGGATCCAGTAAGAGGTTCGGGAGGGACAATTGAGACAGATTGGGAGAAAATGTTGGAGGGGATGTGTGTGTGAGTGGATGGTGGGAGTGGAGGAGGAACAGGAAGAGAAAAGTGAAAGGAGGCATCGAGGGATCGAGCCACCAAGGCATCAACTCTGATCGACGCTTCTGCAGGTACCGGGTGTACGCCGGCGCACTATGGCACGGCACAGTGGACACGGTGGGCATTGTGGGTAGAGTGGGAGTTGCCAAGGACGCTGGGGCTCAGGCACACAAAGGGATTTCTCGAACTTGTAGGTGCCGGGCGGCTGGCACCTGCCAATGGGCCAATGCAAGCCACAGAGAGCCATCGGCACACTAAAAGCGCCCTTGCAGTTCCCCTGGTGCCCTTGGGACCCTCACTGACTTTGGGGCCGACGCGATATCTTAGGTATCGATTAACCAAAGGCCCTTGTCCCTGCCTGTTTCCCACCATAATTTTTTTTTTGTTTTGTTTTCCGATTGCGCTCCTACTGGGTACTTTGTGTGGTGATTTCGTTTTGCTGAGGGTTGCATTTCTGTTTCTAATCTCACATTACTCGTATGTCACCGAGCTGAGAGGATATGGCCATCCCTACCCCCGGACTGGGTTCAGCTGTTGCCTACCTTGGTAGTAAAATCAATGAGTCAATCCCAGTCACTGGCTCACATTTCTTTCTGGTGTTGGCCAGTCAATCGCCCAAGCCCCAGCGATGTGGGCTCATTGCGCATCCGGGCAATCAATCATTCTCCAATGTTTCTAGCCTCCTCGTTTATTTGTTTGGCATGCTTCCATCACGCTTGCTTCTGGTCCACGCGCTTTGCCCTGGTCCTTGCCTTGGACTTTAGGCCTTTGTTTAGTTGCATTTACCCTCCGATCCCCGTCTCCTCGCCCCTCCTCGCGTCAAACTTTCTTTCTTGTCGGGCGGCTCAGCTGCCATAACCAGAGTCTATGTTACTGCCACTGTCCTGTCACCCGATTTCACGTCTTGGCCAACAAACGACAGAATATCCGAATTCTTTGGACGATTTGCCTCCCTGCCTCCCTGGATACGATTCTCCAAAGCCTAGGCCACCCCCTGCTAGAACAAACAATCTTGTCAACAGGTTCTTGTTTGCTGGTCCGTTGTCCAATGCCAACTACGGATCCCCACTTCGGAAGACCACTCGATGCGTCATCACAACGAGAAGATGCTTCCCGTTCACGGGGAACAAAGTGAAAAGGGAATTATAATACAAAGTCAAAAGTGGTGCTGCACCGTGCACAAGGGCACTATGATCGGGGATCGAGTTCCTCCAATGCATCGTTGTTTTAGACGGCGATTCCATGGCTGCGGCAACGTCGTGGCATCCGAGTATTCGCAAACAATAACCCATCCCGAATCCTGCCTCCCCGTTGACTCGAGCTTCTGGATACTCGTAGTGTCGCGTGTAGGCTTCAGCTACGGATGTTGAATCCTCGACTCCCGTCTGCTTGGTGTCTGTTCCTCCTGGGTCTTGCTGAGATAGCAACAAAAAGACTAGGCCTGATCCTCAGACTCGGTCAGCTTGCGACTCGAGAAATGGAAACAACCCCTTGGAGCCCTGCTGGAACCCTTCCAAGGTTGGGATGCATCGCTAGGGCTCCCGCGGGAAGCTAGGCCTTTAGGCCACTAGGCTTCGGCGCAGGCCCCACCTGCCGCACATCCAGCCTGGAGCCCTGAAGCCCTTGGAGCAACCCTTGGAGCAACCTGAAGCCTTGTGGCTCTCCGGGTCCCAAGAAGAAAAGCCTCTTGGAAACAAACCTGCGTATCCGAAGTGCTTAGTTCTGTGCTAACGTACCATCCGTTGAGTATCCATCCGACCAGATGGGGGTGGATAAGGGGTAGCTGCAGTTGATCTCCCTGTCCCATCCTTTCTGCTATAACTATCACATTTCCTTGTCCGGCCTACAAATGTTACACGTCTTTCGCTCTCTCATCTGTTCACGACGTTCTTTGCTTTCCATAGTCCTGCATTGCCTTTCGCTTGTCATCGACCTAAATTGTGGCCCTGGCCCTCTACCGAATTGTCTAGATCTGACGTTCGAGAAACATCCGCTCGACACATCACAACGGCCGCACCCCCTAAATCAGACACGATCCTGGACGTGTACCAAATCTATCTGCCCGCAATCAATTGCTATCCGAGACTCGACGACGTCGAATAAGCTACCTGTCTAATCGGACTTGATCTCAGATCTGTCGCTCAATCCAACCAAGACAATCTGCACTGGGCTGGAACTCCTTCTCTGACAGCGCGCACAAAACTCAAATTATCAGCGCATCTCCTTTCCAGATCTTGGATTCCCTCCCTTGGCTCGACCAAAAAGGGCCCTTGACAAAAGATCGTTCACACACACTGCCACCTTTCCCAGGCCAGCAGTCAGCGAGCCAATTCTGTATTACATCCTTGTCTCTGGGGGCACATCACTGGACAGGAGCAAAATAGTCTACGGACTTCGCATATTACTTTGTGAGTCAGCCAAAAAGGAATCCCGTGCCCTGCCTGGCTATATAAGCCCGGGTCCGGAGTCTCCCCCTGAACTTTTTCTCGACCTCCTCATCCGCCGACTCGAGAGCTAACGCCTACCCAGCGCTCACAGACACAATGACTTCCTCATCAACGTCAGCTTCATCGACTCCTTGCGATATGGGCCGCGGAGGGTACGACACGACAGGAGTACCCAAACCTAAGCCTCCTCCAAAATAACATCTGACGAATCCGAAATCCCATCAATCCGTCTCAAAATCGGGCCCCCAAGGGGCTTCTGGCAACATTTGCCAAATACATTCGATTCCTCTGCCGGCCGACACACACTCAGTGTCCACGCATGAGCTCCCAACAAGAGGGATGGGTATGCCTAGAGCTTCGCATCACCACACCAATCCCTTCGGGCGCTCCGACCGAGCAACTTGTTTCTCGACACTTTTAATCCCCCATGTGCTTTTGGAACAACCGACTACCCTGTACAAGTACTGTCTCAAAAAGATTTGAGCGTTCTCGGCGACACTTTCTTACCCTTGCATGTACGGCGCTGGGAACATTTGTTTTCTTTCGGGGACTTGACCAGCACGACCATTTCCTGTACAACCAATATTTGATGTATCAAAAAAGTGCTTTTTCTCTCGGCGTTTCACTATAGACGGAGGCTGGGATATGGAGGCGGACGGCCAAAGGATGAGGAACATTGCGGTATAGATTATATGACTCAGGTCACTATTTTGGGAGTTTCGTCATGGGTCTGGAGGTAGAGGGTATGATACCGCAGCGTCGGTCATGCCAATTGCAAAAGGTTTCTGCCTGGATACCATGTGGTTAACAAGATGAGATGGCCTATTCAAATGACACGAACAGGCTCTTTTGATTCCTGTGGAGTCATCAACCAGAGGCCACGGTCAACATGTGGCTTCCTTTATCTCTCACACTGAAAGAAATTGAAATAATGTTTTGTCAATATTGGTCAAAGGCTCTGTCCCTCGTAACTTGTTTGGTTTTCTGGGTTACCGTCCATCATAGGCCGACGCAAAGGAATCAATGCTGGTTCGTTGCACGAGGCTTCAACACTCAGGGGTTGCCCCGAGGATGCTCTTTTGGAGAACTTTAGTGTGCAGGCAGAAGGGAAAATTGATTTGAGGCAAAAGATGCAGTTGCCGCAGGTGTAGTTATATCATGCCGTAGGTGTACGGTTGATCGTAGCGACGGAAACCGTAACGGGCACCTGGCTTGCTGGAAACTCGGCATCATCCGCATCGTCAGTCTACAATCCACTACCAGTGCTGTGATCAATCCACTTCCTAATCATCATCCTCTTTCCAAACCCGCCCTCATCCCTGGCAGATTCTCTACCCTCGAATCGTTTCTTATTCAACTTCCAGAACGACCCTCTGAACGAGAGACATTCAAGGATCATCCGAACTTGTCCACTTCCGCAGCGAATTCATCTCCAACCTGACCACCCCAGTACCAAACTCGAGCTTCTCCTACCAAGACTATACGCTTCGTTACTGGCAAAGGGATCTCCGCATCTCCAGGCACAATCTGCAACTGAAAGAAGTTTGGAAGGACTAGCATGGCCGACTCATCTTCAGCTCCCAAGCCCTCGAGCAGCGTCAAGCTTGTGCTGTTGGGAGAAGCCGCCGTCGGAAAGGTGGGTTGCGCATGGCCCATCACCCTTCCTTCCCTGGCTTTCAATAGTTCCCTGCCATGTCACGTTGAAGACAACCCTGGAAGAAGTGGCTGTGGTTGTACGGTCGAGATCACGATACCTTATCCCCACGTCAATTAAAAAGGACATACACACGATTGGAGCAGATGGGGGATATCATTCGACTTCTCGAAAGAAGATGCAAAAATAAAGGATCGTCGCTGACAGCCTGAACAGTCATCTCTAGTCCTGCGCTTTGTCAATAATGATTTCCAAGAGAACAAGGAACCCACCATTGGCGGTATGTCTACGTCCTGTCAACGTCGCATTCTGTGCTGGACTGCAAGCCCTTTTATTGTCCTTTCGGAACCGCTGTCCTCCAGCCCCTTTCCCCAGAATGATGCGATCTCTTCTGAGGTCATCAAGCTGACATTCCCTAGCGGCGTTCCTTACCCAAAAGATCTCCCTTCCCAACCGAATCATCAAGTTCGAGATATGGGATACCGCAGGCCAAGAACGCTTTGCCTCTCTCGCCCCCATGTACTACCGCAACGCGCAAGCTGCGCTCGTCGTGTATGACCTGACAAAACCAACCTCGCTCGTGAAAGCCAAGCATTGGGTGGCGGAATTGCAGAGACAAGCTTCACCAGGAATCGTCATCGCCCTTGTGGGCAACAAACTAGATCTGTGCGCCGAATCGTCCGGTGACGACGCGGATCCTTCTCAAGAGTCGTCCTCCGCAGCAGGGGACGAAGGCGACGCCAATACCTCTGAACAGGCCGAAGCTGAACCCTCTGAAACCGGGGATGCAAGGAAAATCTCTACACGAGAAGCCAAGTCATATGCAGAGGAGGAAAGCCTGCTATTCTTCGAAACGTCGGCAAAGACCGGTACGAACGTCGCGGAGGTGTTCTCGGCAATTGCGAACGCCATCCCTGAGACATCGTTGAAGGGAGCCCGAGGAGCCGCTGGTGGTGGAACACAGGCAGCGTTGTCGGGTGCAGCTCAACGTGCGGAGGAAGCGAGGGTGAACCTGGCAGACAGAGGAAAGCAGCAGAAGGACAATTGTGCTTGTTGATCTGACTGACCAAGAAGGCTAAGAGTCTGCCCCGGATGGTTGAGTTCTAGTGGCAGTCATTTACACGGACGCGCCTGTGCTTGAGTCTGAGGATGAGCTTGGTTAGTTACCCTAGCCGAGGAATAGCACGAGTCCCAGTTGAAATGGTGGCGAACAGAAGCAGACGCGCGGGTACCAGACATAATCGAGAACGCCGTACTCGCCTTATGCTGAGGGACAAGGAACGCAGGTATTCGCATTGGGTTGTTGGTTGGAACGGCGACAGATGTGGCGTCTGGTGGCGAAGAGCGAAGTATTCATCTGCGGATTGCACTTGTACAAGACTTTGGACAGCCCTCACAAAAGACCTAATCATCTTGCAATTAAGTATCGTTACAAGTCTATATCGTTCTGTCTTGAAACACGGTCTGATATCCCTGTCTTTCCACGCTCGTAGCTGGCATTGTGAATAAGTCCATCACCATAGAAGAACCGACAGCTGCGCCACAAATATACAACTCGGCGAGCGATGTTCTCTGGACTCATAATGCAATGATAAGGACTATTTCGATAGCGACGGCAAGCGGATGCTCGTTCCACTGATGCCGAATCTCTGGTATCCTCTTTTTGCCCACTGAGTCCAGGCAGCTTCGTCATTACTACCAGTCAAGTATGCCCGTACGTCAACATGCTCTTCTCGGCGGAGCCAGTGTTGACATAACATAAGTCCGGATACCTGTTTCCCCATGGGTCCCGCAACTCACAGTCGGAATCTGGCGTTGAGTTCGTTCCCGGTTGATATGGGGTCAGCTCTACCGAGTACTCGGGTCGCTGCTAATCGTATTCCACTTGAAGAGGGCGCTACGGAATTCCGAAACATCGGATTCTTGTTACCCACAGTAAGCAGACACCAACTTTGTTTAAAGCTCTTGGGATCCTTACAAAAGTAGAAGTGTAGATACTCAATAATGCACTATTCAACTCTCGCGGGAGGAAGTTGAGCCCCCCGCGCCTTGACGCGAAAGTGGAGAAACACCTTAGATTTGAACTTGTGTCACGATGACATCAGAGCTTCGAGGCTTCTCTGGAAAGACAAGATTCTCTTCAAGCCGCACATCTAACTCTGTCTGCAGTCATACGAAAATCAAGTCTCTACGTTCATTTCCCCTCGTGCAGCTTGAATCTGGTGCCAGAATGGCTGATCGGGTGAAGCAAGTTGCTGCCGAAGAGGCAGACCACGTTCGAAAGATGACCCGCGAGGCTGTGAAGTCGCGGGCCTACCTCTATCCCATCAAGGTAAGGAAGACTTTTCTCCCGCAGCCAAGATCGCACTGTTCTGACGGTGAACAGGGTATTTTCTACTTTCTCTCTCATAAAGATTTGTGGAAACCATTGACTTCCAAACTGGGTCCGACGATCACGCTGAGTATCGGGGTGACCACGTTCATGTTCCTCGTGGCGTACGTGCCTCAAGCAGCCGTCATGGCGTTCACTTCTGGGCCTGTCGCCGCGATTACAGCGGCCTTACTTACTCTCAGCGAGAGTTCAACCCTCATCAACCTCCTCTCGAGAACCTTTTTGATCGAAGAGGCGTTGATCGACACCTTTGACGGCACCCTCCTTTCTCGAGATTGCACCAATCTAGTTGAGGAAGGCAGGCAAATAAAAGCTGGAGGGGATAACATTGCCAGACTGGGAAAGCTGCTCAAACGTCCATTCGCCAAGTTCACACCCAATGCCATCATCCGATACCTCATCTACCTGCCACTCAACTTCATTCCCGTAGTTGGCACTCTTGTTTTCATAGTCCTTCAAGGCAAACGAGCAGGGCCAGCCGCGCATACACGATACTTTCAGCTCAAGGAGTGGAACAAGAGACAGAGCGAGATGCATATCGCGGAACACCGCGGAGCATATACCGCATTTGGAGTGGCTGCTTTTTTGCTCGAGATGATCCCCTTTGCAAATCTCATCTTCGCATTCACAAATACTGTGGCAGCAGCTCTATGGGCTGCAGATATCGAGAAGAATGCCACCACAGCCCCAAATGTCCGGGAGCTGGCCAAGAAGGCCGAGTGATGACGACTTCGGGAACATTAGGGCTCAGACTTGTTATCGAGACAGCCTTGAACAGGGCTACACAAACCGTGAAGGCGCCCATGGACTGATAACGGAGCGACCGGTGACGGGGTAAGCAGAAGGCAACAAAGGTTGGAAGTGTATGAATTATTTCTGGAGCACTTGTGAGGCGGTGGCAACCCCAATGACAGTTGAAACGACTACTCTTTCCATGGAATTGGGAGCTGTGTGCAACCATGGATCTGTCTCTGTCCATCCTCGGCAGAGGACAAGGGGTCATATGAAGTGAAGCACGCGGTAATAAGCCTGGAGGCTGATTTCGTCAAGCCCTTGGGAGTCGAGAAACTCACACCTTGAAATGAAAATGGCACATTCCGTGGTGAGCATAAGGACAAACCAACATCCTCGCATCGTCACGTCAAAATGGCAGTCTACTGTATCCATCTGGATTCACCTGGAATTGTTTACCCTTCACATTGCATGACCCCAAAGTCTATACCATTTTTTCCCGATCTTGATTCACGCAGGCAAATTCTGCCGGACCTCGTTGTTTGTTGATCAGTCGTCGACCACCTAAACACCGCGCTCTGGTTTTCACTTCCTGCCTTCTTCTCACTCCAAAAACAACATTCATTACTGAACAACATCTACTCTTACTGCATCCCAGAAATAAGCCTTGTCGTCAAAACCGTCACTCTCTATCGTCAGACTGGAACCGGCTGGCTCGGTCATCACGCGTCATTCATCGGCAAGCAGGTGAGGGCCACGAGAGTTGTCGGCAAGAGACGTTGGTACTGATCAAAGGAATATAGATTGCGCCATGCGCTCCTTCTTCTCCTCGTCCAGCTTGATGCTGCTGATCTATCTTTTCCTCTCTCTTCTTTATCCTTCCGCAGCCTATCCTCACAGCTTCCATGAATTGCATCCGGGTTTCGCAGGTCGAGATGGGCCAGCTCGGACCACCAAATATCCTATCCCCTACAAAGCCAGAGTCAGCTCTGTCTATGCAAACTCAGCCACTCCTTGCTCCGGCGCTCATTGCGCCGTTGCTACCCCTCTCCCTGGAAGCTTACCTTGTAACGCTGTGAATGGCTCGACTATTGTCAATGCTGCTCCCAATGGCGCCAAATACACACTGATCTGTGATGTGGACTTTCCTGCTCAAAACATCTACCCCTTTGTTCTGGCTGGTTCTTTCGAAGAATGTTTGGCACAGTGCGAAGCCTACAACAAGAAAAATCTTAGCGATACCCATTGCGCTGGGTTTGTCTTTGCACCAGACCGCGTTGACGACGCAGATGACTGCTATCTAAAGTCATCCTTGGATAACCCGAGCTCAGCAACAATTCATCTGGTCGGTGCGACAGTCATCCCTTCAGCTCCAGGTTGCTCTTCATCAACTGCGTCCCCTTCTGTGCTGATGCCTCGTTCCAGCCAGGGGGGCTCTACGCCTTCGCTTCGTGTAGGAGACTTCAGATTGCTCGGTAGCTCCACAAACAAGCCTACGACACAGTATGTGAGTCATGTGCCTGCAAGCCCACAGAAGCTTGCGAGCAACCTCCTGGTCCCAGGGATCAACACCGACCTCATCACACAATACCCAATAGCAGATGACACAGGGTCCTGGACCTCCGACCACGTGCACACCGACGCAAAATTGGCAGACATGAAGGTCGTACCCCATATGTCTCGTGATGGTGGGAAAGGGGGGACGATCAACGGGACTCATCTTTTCATCTTTTGCGACACTGCCAGTTTCCAGATCGATCAAACCTCAGGCAGCAGCCAGATGGTCGGATTTGTGTCAAGCTCGGTCGCCACAGATGACGGAATGAAGGCCCTTTATGGCGGGCCACTCGATCTCGTGGACAATGTTGGCGAATGGCAGGATGACGTTGGCAGAATGCGAGGGTTTGCTCCCATGACGACCGGAGAAGAATCCTTCAACATTGATCTGTCCGGGAATGGGTATCGATATGCAGTATGGCCTGAATCTTCCCTGATCCCGCTCAACGCAAGCCATGCTTTGCTTTACCCAGCACTGGTGTATGATGTTGTGGATATGAACACACAGGCGGCGGTCTTTAATGACGTTGGCAACTCTATTCTTTTGGTCTCAGTCGATCCGACTTATGGGCCGTCTGCCGACCGTGTTGTTCGACAGCTCTACAACCAAGACCAAGTCTCCTTTGGAACTTTGGGAGGGATGCGTTCCTGGGGGCCCTCTGGGTCTGGCGGCAATGATGGCCACATTTACCTCTTTGGAAAAGGCGACAATGGCGTCCTTGTGGCGAGAACCATGCCAACTGGATACACCGACTTGTCGACCTACGAGTACTGGAACGGTGGCTCCTGGGTCAAAGATGTATCCTCGTCCAACTCGACGGCTGTTATGCTCGATGTCTTGGTTCAAGATCTAGACGTCATTTATGTCCCTGCCATGCGGGGTTTTCTCATGGTTTACCTCAACACTCTGGCTGACAATACTTTCTATTACCGCTATTTCGACCTCGACCTGAATGGGGAGGACAAGGATCTCGACATGGAAAACATTGTGAATGCCAAGTGGTCTAACGAGCAAGTCCTGGCCAAGATCGATGCTCCTGCCCAGGGTTATATCTACGCTGGTGGTGTGCATGCGGGATACTTTGGTGCCGAAGACGTGTCCAACGGAGGGTGGAAGATGCTGATTACTTGGACGGAGCATACCGGCAAGGACGCCGCATCCCCAGAATCGGGCTATGCACATAAATCGGCCTACGTGCAGCTCAGTCTTGGTTGAAACTACATCCCAAGCATCGACGGCATCTGTGAGCCTCAACTCAACTGAGCGGAGTGACTCGAGAGCATGGACTGATACGCCTGGTTATGAAATATGATGTGCGCGACCATTGCGGTTCACCACATTCACCATGGATGCATTACCACCATTCGGCGTGATCTGGTTTTGGAATACTCTTTATTCACTTGCGCCACTGAGATGTCGTTCGGCTGCGAAAGGAAGGCACATTGTGAGAGCCTTTCCAGCGATTCATGATTGATGAGTTACGCCTTGTTCTGACGCTGGCCTGCCTGATGTACCGCAAATGCGGATACGTAATGTCACGAGTAAATAGCTGCCCATGAGATGAAATCAATACATTGATTTTGGCTCATACTGCCCAATGCCTTTGCTGTACAAATGTTACAATGTAGTCAGTAGGTAAACACCCTCGTACTTTGGACACCTCGTACGTATGTACATCAAACCTTGTGTGAACTGCACCTGGAATGCCGGAAAATTGTTTTTGTCAGACGATAAGTATTCTCCATCCACATAATCCGATGGAGACTCGTCACCAATTTCCAATCACTCTTGCTTGCCATTCCTCCGAGTCGTTCTCGGTTCTGGCGAGCAAATGCCTGCCTTGGCCGCCTGGTCCACTGAGACATCTTGTTTTCCTGCCACCCTGACCTGCCTGCTTATTGTATCCGGCCGATCCTCGTCCTCTCTCTCATTCATCATCCCTGCAAGGGCCTTCCCCGCGCCGCCCAGCCACGCCAGGGACCACAATTTGCGGGACAGCTTTTCGTTCTCCTCCCCTGGTTTTTTTGGTTTGAGGGGTAAAGTAAGCATGGTGGGCGAGCGAACAGTGTCGCATTCAGCAAACGCAGAGCTATCATGCGGCCGTCCGCAAGATGCTGGTGGAATCCCGCCGAAGCACGGCATATCGTCAAGCGAGACGAGGGGGGGATGAACCAGAAAAAACGAGGAATGACAATAAATAATCCTCTGGAGAAATATCCCAATCAACCTGCGTCTCTCTGTCAAATCCGGTCTTTCTGCCTTTTGTTCCTCCTCTATCTGACGCTACATCGGGAGGCCGCGGTCGAGAGCTTGCTTATTCAGAGATCCATATTTGGTTTCGTACGTAGGAGGCTTGTTTGATCAGGACTCTTGCACTCTCTGGGTGTACGGCGACGGACGGGTGCGAGACTGCAGATAGCAGAAAAGAACACCACAAACCCCAAGTCCAGATATTGCACCTCAACACGTCAAAATCCGCAATGGCTGGAGTCACAAACGGTGCGTCCTCGACAGAGGCGGCACCTCCGCAGCTCCAAGATCCTGGGTCATACCCTCTGGCCGCACAGATTCCCCTGAAGGAATTCCAGCTACCAGACTTCCCTCCGCATGCTTCTCGTCTGAGAGAACTCACATTCACCGCCGACATCAAACTCGACGAGTACCAGACCATGGTGCAGACCCATAGCGACGCCATCGTAACTCAAGCACCACTGCCAGATCTGCCGAAATCTATTACCCATCTTACCTTTGAGCTCTTTGGACTAGGCTTCCCCGGCACGCCGCCCTTTCTGACTCGACTTGCCCGGTCATTGCCAAACGTTAGGAGTGTTACATTCTTCAGCTGCCTGATCGACGGGCTCGATGAGGCGTCCCGAAAGGATGCAGAAAAGTTTTTCGAGTGTCTGCCGAATCTGCAAGAACTGCATATCATCGATTCATTCGCAAGACCCGGGTTTTTCAAGAGCGTGGGTGCGATTCTTGAAGATCGTGCCAAGGGCAACGCTGGTGAGGGATTGAAGCTTGTCGAAGTCAGCTACACGTTCCGTGGACACGAAGACAGCGACTTCCTAGCCCGAGTGCAAGGAGAAGAGCTGCCAAACCTGATTGTCAAGGGTCTGGTGGGTGCCAGCTTTGACTTTGTCCCTGAACGGCAGGATCAGCTCGCTGAAGACGCTGAGACGGCTGAAGGAGAAGCCGGGAAAGAGAAAAAGGCAGTCAACGAAGGGATTCTGCCGTTTGCCAGCGACGGACGAGCACCTACCGCGGCGAGGAAGAGGTTCGAGAGTCTAAGCTCTGGAGGCCAGTTGAAGAGCTTGAAGATCCTGAATTTGGCCATGTGGTCGCTCCGTCCCGTCGAGGTGGGTGAGGTGGCCTATGCATGTGCGGGAGGCGAGGAATCTGGTCTGGTCGACATAACCGTCAGCGTTCTTCT